TGGGCCTGGCCCGCCTACCGGGCCTCCTTTGACCTGGCTCCCCTCCGCGAGCCCCCTGCCTGCGCGTTCGGTCCCGCCTGAGGCGCGGGGGTCAGGGCTCTGACGTGTGCGTGCAGGGGACACGCGGGGGACAGCCGAACCACCCATCGTTCGAAGGAACGGATCGTCACGGTCAGTGGCCCGGCACACAGGGCCCCGTGACAAACGGTGAGGGTCTGCGGCTCCCAGCGCCCCACACAGGCCGAGGGCCCCGCTCCCAGCTCCGCTGACGCGCACCTGACAGCAACAGGGGCCGGTGGGGACAGACCCCAGAAGGAAGCGCCCCGTGCAGGGGTGCTCTGGGCGCTGGCCGGGCGTCCGCGTGGTGCGCCCCTGCCTGGGAAGTCCATTACCGAAGACAACCGCACCACAGTGATGGGGGGGTCCATGTGAGTCCCAGGGAAACATGGGAAGGACCTCGGATGTCTCCACCGGGCTCCAGGACCCCTGGGGCGACCATTTTAAAGTGCTGGCGAGAAAAGACCTTGAATTTTGTTTTATACCCAGCCAAATTGTCACTCAGACACAAGGACATAAGGCTGCCCTCCAGTTCCCGAGTTTGCGAAGGGCTTGCCGCAGAGCCCGCGATGACGGCGTGTCGAGGGAGGACGCAGACGCCAGACACGCATCCGAGAGGCTACCAAAGGATTGGCAGGAAGGTCGTGCAACGCCTCAGGAAAGCTTGCCGTTGTCCTGGAAAACGCCAGGCCCAGGGAACGGGGGCAGGGTCACGGGGACCCGGCGTTAGGAGGCCAGACTCATGGTCCCCATGCGGGGAGGGCGGGGCGGCGGGCGGCGCACCTGCCCAGGCACATCCGCCCACGTGGCTGCGCCCGGCTGCCCCCCCAGGCTCCTCACCCCCCAGTGCCTGCCCCCACTGCAGCCCTGTGTGTCAGCGGGCCCCCGACGGGCTCCCTGGGAAGCAGCTGAAACAGCCCCTGGGAGGCCACCTTGGGGGAAGGGACAGAAGGGGCGGCAGCCCCCCACCCCTACCCCACAGCCGGCAGAGGCGCACCAAGCACAGGAGGGCCACGGGCCAGGCAGCGGGACGGGCACCAGCGGCTCTGCCAGGGGGCTTATCCCGCCTCTCCATCAGCCACGCCAACGCTCCACCCCGGGGAGCAGGGGCAGGAGGGTAAACGTCCACGGCCTGGAGCACGGCCCATCGCCCGCCGAGCGGCGCGGATGCTCTGAGGTGCCCGTGGCCCGGCCGAGGGCAGCTGTTCGGGGTCTGGATTTATCTGAGCCCTGATTTCACAGGCAAGAGGCCCCTGGGAGCGCTGGCGCCCTGGTACACGGCGCGGCCCCACCCGAGGTCCCTGACCGGACGTCCTGCGCAGGCAGGGTCTTGGAGGCCGGCGCTGAGCTGGGGCCACACCCAGCCCCCACCTCGGGGGCCGCCCCGCATGTTCGCAGCTGGGCCCGGGCCCCACAGGCGCCCTGAGGACCTGAGGCCAAGCCCACTCGTGCCCCCCAACCTGTGCAGGAAACAGGGACGACCAGGCGGCTCACCAGCCCTGGACACGCTGACCGGCAGGTAGCAACCCGTTCCAGGCTCCCGGGAAAGCCCAGTAACGGCCGAGATAAGAGGACACCAGTGGCCCCGGGCCCCTGGGAGGGGCCCCGCCTGCCGGCCAGCGCTGTCCCACCGCCACCCGGGGCCTCGTTAAACACGCCCGCTGCCCTGAGAGGAGGTTGGGACGGAAAATGCCGCCTGACCGCTGATAGCGCCAGAGGGCGGGGCCGTCGCCCGTGTCTCCGCCACACAGAGGATGGGAGACCACAGGCGTGAGCAGGTCCGGTTCCGAGAGCGGGGTGGGGGCTCCCCGAGCGGGGGAGAGTGGGGTCCCGGATGCGGGGAGCGCCCCAGCCCGCGGAGTGCGCCCCCTGAAGGGGCAGCCCCGGCCTTGCCCAGGCCCCGCCCCCCGCAGCATCTCCGGGCAGACACCGCCCCCCGGCCCCGGTCGATGGCCCATTTCAGCCCCTTTTGCCATCGGTTACATGAGGGTGGTGGCCGACCCCTCCCAAGACTTGTCACCCGTGAGTGTCCTGAGTCATTCTGAGCTGAGCGGCTTAAACCACAGACACGCACGGTCCCCATCCTGGAGGCTGGAGTCTGAGGCCCGGGTGCGGGCAGGGCCGGCTCCCCCGGGACCTCTCTCTCCTGGGCCTGCCGACGGCCTTCTCCCCCCTGAGTCCCTACAGGGCCCCGCTGTGTGTGTCTGTGTCCCCATCTCCTCTGCGAGGCCCCCAGTCGCACTGGATTACGACCCAGCCCCGTGACGGCCTGGACCGGGACGGGCGTGGGGGATCGCGGGCGGGGGGGGCCCCGGGCCAGCGCCGCGACCCGCCTGTGCAGAGCCCTGCCGTCTTGATGCTGTGCGGGCGGTGGACGCTCCTTCGAGCTCCGGACGCGGGCCCTTCTCGGTCACACGCACGGAAATCGCCTTCCCCGTCTTTGACTGGTATTGTCGCTTTGTTACGCGTCCTTTTCCAATACAGTTGCTAAAAAGTCATCAGTCAAAGGGATCCGCCTTGACTTCCACGGGGCGGCAGTTTAGAGACTGGGTCAGGGAACCCTCCCTGAGCCCCGGCGAGTGCGGCTCCATGGACTGAGCGCCGGCCGGCAAACTAAAGGGTCACAGGTTCGATTCCCAGTCAGGGCACCTGCCTGCGTTGCGGGTCAGGTCCCCAGTAGGGGAGAGCATGAGAGGCAACCACACATCGGTGTTTCTCTCCCTCTCTTTCTCCCTCCCTTCCCCTCTCCCTAAAAATAAATTTTTTTAAAAGAGAAAACGCGACGCGACCCGCGTTTTCCCCGGGGCTTTCTGGGCCTCTGTCCAGGGATCCTGCCCTCAACATCGGCGGAGCGGCTCGCCAGCCTGCAGGCTCCCCCTGCTGGCCGCCTGCAGTATTGCATGCCCCGGCCCCCTTGGCCGCCAGCAGCCTGGCGACCATTCACTCTGAGGGTTCAGACGCCCCGCAGGTCCCTCCGCAGGACGAATGAGGTGGCAGAAGCTCCGCACCGCAGTCCTCCTGCCGGCGTCCCCCCTCCCTCCCCGCCGGCTCCGGACCTGCACAGCGCGGACGGGACGGGCAGCCCAGGGAGCGGGGCGGCTGGGAGACCCCCCTTCTCCGAGCTGGCGGACCCTCCGAGGGCCTCCTCCCGGGCGCCCTGCCTTCCCCAGGCTCCGGCATCGGTGTTCACAAGCGACACGTGTGCCGTTTTCCTTCTTTGGGCGGCTCTGGAGTGCCCCCCGCCCCGCTCCCAGCTCGTCCAGGGTCAGGGGCGAGGCGGCGGTGCTTCCCCACTCTGCCCGCCGCCCCGGACCCTCTGCGCGGCGGGTCGCAGCCGTTGCACCCCCGGGTCCTGCCTCCCGCGGGCCCGCGGGTGACCTCTCGGGGCTGCGGGGGCGGCAGCCACCGTGACATTGAGTGGACACAGGACATGTGCTTGTGCCCTGGCCCACCCTCTGGCCAGGCTCCGGAACGATGTGACCGTTGCATGGACAGCTGCCTGCTTCCAGGGCAGCAGAGGACCGGCGGGGCGGCGTCCGCACCAGCCTGGCCGCGGTCAGACACAGACAAGCCAGGGTGACCGCCGCGTGCACGATCGCGAGCTGCAGGCACGTGGGGAACGACCCGGCCTTCGTGTCGGACGCTGCCGGGGAGCGGGGGGGGGGGGGGGGGGGCACGCCCCAGCGCCGCGGGGCGCGCGCACCGGCTCGCTGTCCGGCAGCTTCCCGCTCAGGGGCCAGACGCCTGACTGCTCTGTCCCCAGGACCGCTGTGCGGTGCTGCTTGGCACACCCGCACGGGTGTCTTTCTGTGGGGGCACGTTTTCCTTCGTCGCGCCTACCGCGCGGAGCGTGGGTTGCAGGGAAGGTTTACACTTCGCTGCCTAAGACTTTGCTTTCCGCCGCTGCCGTCGGAGCCCAGGCCCCTCCAGCAACACCCCGCTGCCCACGCCCGCGCCAGCCCTGGGCTTTGTCTGCGAGGTGCGCCTGCGGACGCGGGAGGTGGCCGTGACTCTGTCTCTGAGGTGCGTGAGCAGGCTTGTGCGGCGGCTGTCGCGCTGACTGCCCTTTTGCGGGCGTGCTGGCCAGTCGTCTGTCGCGGGCGGTGAGGGAGGCCTTGCCCTGCCCCCGCTGAGCTGTTCGATGCATTGTGGTTGAGTTTGGGTGTCCCTTTTGTATTCTGGATATGAACACCGTTCCAGACACATATTTTGCAAAATTTCCTTCCAGACTGTGCCTTACCGTTTTGGTAACTGTCTTTCAAAGAGCGGAAGTTTTAACCTTAACGAACCCTGTTTTGTTGCGCAAGCTCACAGACGCGTCCCCAACGCAAACACGTGTACACCCTCCCACACACGCAGGCGCGCGCACGTCCGCCCGCCCCCAGCAACGGGGCAGCAGGGGCCTCCGCAAGCGGAGCGCCCGGCAAACAGCCCTGAGGGGAACCTGAGGGTCCGCCTCACACTTCCGGGGCGGGAGGGCTTCCTGGACAGGCTGCCCGCCTCGCAGGGACCCGACCGGGGCGCTGCGCCCGCAGGAGCGGGACGGGGTGGGACGGGGCTTTCTGCGCAGCCCCGGAGAAGGGCGTCACCGGGCGCCACCTCCTGCCCGTGAAGCCCGCCAAAGCCAGGCCAGGCACACGTGCACAGCCACCCCCGGGTCCCGCGTGCGGAGCCCGGCGACTGGCCCCACGGGGGCGCGGGGCCCCTCTGGGCCTTCTGGACCCACCGACTCCGCAGGGAGCAGCCCGCCCAGACGCCCGGCGCCCACTGAAGCACACCCACACAGCGTCTCTGCCTGAGTTTATTTTGAAAGCGGGGATGTGAACAAAGGCTCCGAAAATAAATATCCACCGAGAGAAGCCAGCGTAGGAAGCAAGGGAGCTCAGAGGGTCCGCGGGTCGGGGATGCGGGCGGTGGGGGGGCCTGGGCGGGGGCCAGCCGGCTCAGCCCCGCCCGGCGCGCGGGCCGCGGCCCGGGGCCCTGCGCCCCGCCGGCAGGAGCTCGCAGGCGGTGTCCTGGCACAGGCAGCTCTCGATGTGGGTGTAGGTGTGCCGGCGCCGGCTGCCGTCCGGGCAGAGCAGCTGCACCTCCCGCTGGCTGGTGCGCTCCTCCTTGCAGCAGGAGCACCGGTGGTCCAGGGCCTGCGCCTCGGCCGAGTACCTGCCGGAGCGGCGCGGTGAGGCCCGCGCACGCCGCTCCCCCGGCCCCCGCCCCCGCCCCCGCCCCCTCGGGCCCGGACTCACATGGCGAAAGTCCCGCAGGACCCGGTGCAGTAATTCATGGTGACCCTCCTGGTGCAGCCGCCGTCGGAGATCTCCCGGGTGATCGGGACGGTGGAGCAGGGGATCCTGGTCTCGTTGCGTGGGATGCCTGCGGGCAGCGAGGCGGGGGCTCGGCGGGGGCGCCACGCCCCCCGGGCGGCCCACCGCCTCGGCGCCCCGCTGAGAGGGGCCCTGGGGCACCGTCCCCTGGGGCTTCCGCCCTGGAGGGGCCCGGGGAGTCCACCCGCCGGGCCCGTACTCACATTTCTTGCAGCAGCCGTTGGGCATGAGGGTGATGGAGCCCTGGAGGGAAGGAGAGGGGAGCTTGGGACCTCAGGCGCCCCCACCGGGGTGTGGCCCAGGGCCGTCCCCACAGCCGCCCGGGCCAGTGGCCACGCTCCCCGCGCTGGGGACCCCCGCCCCCGGCAGGGCCCACGCAGCTGGCGCCCCAGGCGGGCCGGCTCACCGGGACGCAGTCTCTGGGGTCGAAGTCGGGGCAGGTGATGTTGGAGACGGACGAGATGAGCTGGTTGTGGATTTTCACACAGCTGAAGAAGGTGCAGTTGTTCGTGGGGTCGCTCTTGAAGTCCCCGGGCTATGGGGCAGAGGACAGTCTGGTGAGGGCCAGCCGGGGGCCCGTCCGGGAGGAAGACGGGAGCGCCCGGCCCCACGCGGCCAAGTGCAGCTCTCGGACAGCGGGTCCCGCCTGCAGGCCCAGAGCCACCAGGAGGCAACGCGCAGGGGCCCAGGGACAGCTCCCCGCCTGCAGTGGACAGACAGGTCCACACCCCGATCCCGGGGCCTGTGGACAGGGCCTTATTTAGAAAAAGAGCCCCGGCGGGTGCGGCTCCGTGGGCTGAGCGCCGGCCTGGGAACCAAAAGGTCGCCGGTTCGATTCCCAGTCAGGACACCGGTCTGGGGTGCAGGCCGGGTCCCCAGTAGGAGGTGAGCAAGAGGCAGCCACCCATGGATGTCTCTCTCCCTCTCTTCCTCCCTCCCTCCCCCTCTCTCTGAAAATAAATGAAATCTTTTTCTTTTTTCTTTTTTTCTTTTTTTTTTAAGAAAAAGCGTCTTCGCAGATGCGACTTAGTGAAGGACCACACGGGGAGGCCGCCCCGGATGACCAGGACGAGTGTCCTTAGAAGGGGTGACCGAAGACACAGAGAGGAGGGACCGTGTCGGCGATCATGCTGTCCAGCCACTCGCGCCCGGGCACACGGGCGGCCCCAGCGGCTGGAAGAGGCGGGAAGGACCGTCCCCCGGAGCGTTTGGAGGGAGCGCGGCCCGGCAGCCCCTGGATCTCGGACTCCGGCGCCCGGGCCCCAGGACGGGGCAGAATTGTCCCTGCTGTTCTCAGCCCCGTGCCCACCTGCGGCCACGCCCAGGGCCCCCGTGCAGAGGGCAGGCGCTGGGAGGAGCCGCCCTCCCCGCGCCCGCCCCGCCGGGGCGCCCGCGCCGCACTCACCTTCAGGACCAGGGGCCCGGCGCCGGGCCTGCTGATGATGCACTCGGTCTGCTCGCACTTGGGGCAGCACTCGCCCGGGACGTTCACCAGCCCGAAGCCCTAGGGGACACGGGCGGGCGGCGGCTCAGCGTGGCAGGGAGCGAGGAGGGGCTGGGGCGGGGCCCGCGGGCGCCCGGCGGGGGACTCACGGGGCTGCAGACGTTGTTGCAGGGCACGTGTTTGCAGGACACTTTCTTGAGCTGCGTGGCGCTGTCCGTGACGTTGGTGCAGACGCACACCTGGCACTTGGAGGAGTGCACTGGGGAGCCGGGCTGGGGCGCAGGGAGGGGCGTGTGAGGCGGGCGGGCCTGCCCCGGCCCCCACCCTTCGGCCCCGCCCGCTGCCCGCGGCGCGGCCCCCGGCTCACCTGGTACTCAGCGCTCCCAACCACGCACACGCCCTTGGGCACTGGGGAGGAAGAGAAGGGGACCTGGGTCAGAGGCTCAGCCGGCGTCGGCGGGCCCCCCAGAAGGGAGCCGTGCGCCGCGCGCCCCCTCACGCCACAGCCCCGTGGCCCGAGGCTGCCCGCCCGTCCCCCCGGAGAGCCCCGGCCCCACCCCGGCCCTCCTACCGCAGGAGTAGAAGGGGCAGCACTTCCCGGGCAGCAGCTCGCTCTTCACCTCGAAGCCCAGTGGACACTGTGGGGGCTTCGCCGTGCACAGGCTGGTGTTGCACTCTGGGGACAGAGGGAGGGGACACCGGAGTCACGCCGGGCTCCTCGCAGGCAGGGCCCCGTGCTCCCCTCCCCCCGTCGGGCACCTGGCCCGCAGGAGGTGCCTGAGCTCCCAGCGGCCCCCAGGGCGGCTGCTCCCCAGCCCACAGGGACCCCCAGGGCCCCAGGAGGGGACGGGGACCCAGGGACCCAAGTCGGCTGCCCCGCCCCCAGCCGCGGCCTTACTGCAGGTGGTGATGTTGCAGCAGGTGTCCGAAGGGTCGACTTCGGTGACCAGGTAGGTGCCGTCCTCGGAGCACTGGGCCGGGGGCTTCTGGCTGCACTTCTTGGGCTGACAGATGATGCCGTTTCCCCCCTCCAGGCAGACGCAGTCCTTGCAGTCGAACTCGAAGTGCTCCCCAAACTGCAGAGACGGCGGGGTGAGCGGAACGGGGGCTGCGCCCATCCCCAGCCCCCTCCCGTGTGCGGGGCTGCGGCGGGAGCGGGCGCTGCAGCGGCCCTGGGGGGACCCCGTGCCCTCCCAGCTCTCAGCCGGCGGGAGGCTCCGGTCCAGCGCAGGGCCGGCCACGGTGGCGCAGCCGGGACCGCCTTCCCCGCCGCCAAAGCGTCCCTGTGCAGGCCAGGCTCGCGGCAGACGGCCTTCGGCCCCCGCAGCGTGCGCAGGAGGGAGCTGAGGACCACCTGCTGGGGGCCCAGGCCGAGGCCTCAGCTCACGTCGCACAGGGCACCGCGTGACCGACAGGCCGGCGGTGCGGAGGGCGGATGGATGGACAAAAGGGTGGGAGAACGGAGGGGCAGGGGGCTCGGGGGTGGGACGACGGGGGTGGAAGGAGGGAGGCGTGGCTGGGTGGCCGGGCGGACATCCCTGCCGCCGCGCTTCGCAGCCCTTGGCAGACTCGCCACTCAGTTCCTGAGGGAGAAGACAACCCCGGCCACCGAGGGGCAGGGCCTACCTCTCTGGGCACGTTGTCGGGTCCCACGCAGCCTAGGAGAGAGGAGACAGGCCCGGTGAGCAGAGCCCGGGAGAGCGGGGCCGGGCTCGGCCGTGTTGGGCCGGGGGAGGGCGGCGAGCGGGAGGCGTACCGCACACATCCACGCAGACGTCGACGCCGGGCGCGTAGCTCATGGTGCCCTCAGGACAGAAGCAGCCTTCCACCTGCTTGGTGTCGTTCTGCGGGCAGCTGGTGGGGGGGGCGGGGGGCAGCGTGAGCGGGGACCTGGGCGGCAGCTGGGTGCATGGGCGGTGCTGCCCCTGCCCCCCCGCCCGGGGCGCCCGCCCCGCCGGGCGCCCCCCACGGCTGACCTGGACTTGCAGGTGGGCTCCTGCACGGGGCCACAGGCCCGGTACTCCCTGTGAGGTGGGCACACCAGCGCTGCGGGGGGAGGCGCGATCAGAGGGGCCTGTGCCCCGCAAAGCGACGGCCCTGCCCCGCCCCCCCACACCGGGCCCCCTCAACGCCGGCTGAGGGTGGCGAGTGCCTGGCGCTGTCTGGCTCCGCGCCCCGTGCAGCCCCGAGCTGGGCACCAGGTGCCCAGCTGTGCTGACCGAGGCCAGTGGCACCCAGCCCTCCCAGCTGCGCAGCGCCCCCTTCCCGCCCCCAGACCCAGCCTGCTCCCCCCAGTGCCTGGCCACCCCACTGCGGCCCGGCCCCGGGCCCGGCGCAGCGGCTGGCAGGGGCCGGCGGGCACTTACGGCAGGTGCCGTGGGTGCGGTTCCGCCAGTCGATGCAGGCGCCCTGCTGGGCACAGAGGGTTGCGTAGGTCTGCAGGCTGGCACACTCCATGTTTCCGTTGGGCACGAAGCAGGTGTCGAACACGCAGGCTTCGTAGTAGTGCTGCGGGGGCACCAGGGCGTGGCACGGGGCGAACAGGCTGTGGGGGACGCGGGTCACACTCCAGCCAGCGGCCCTCCCTGCCCCTCACAGCCCCACTGCCCAGCCTCTGTCTCTGCGCTGCCCACGGACAGGCCCCTGGCTGGCTTCCAGGGTGGCCAGCACCCCCCTCCGGCCGCCCTGGCACGCGGTCCCCCGGCCTCGACGTGCACACCGCTAGGGGCGAGGTGCCGGCTGCCCCCGGCCTCGGGGGCGCCCCTCCATCTCAGCCCAACCCGGCCTCCGAGGTCAGCCCTGAGTGCGCCCTCTGTGCTGGCCAGGGGTCTGCCCCAGGCTCCAGGCTCCCTGCACCCTCGGGGGCGGGATGACCTGGGGGTCTGACCCACAGAGAGCAAGAGCCCGGGCCTTGGGCCCCTTGGGGCTGGCGCCGGCCTCCCCACCCCTGCTCAGCGCCTGCCTCCTCTCCTCGCTGACGAGGCGGGGGGCCCGGGCAGCAGGCAGGCCCCCGGGGCGCGGTCACCTGTCCTTGATGAGTTCGCAGAGAGGGGACGAGCAGTTCTTGTGTGGGGCAGCGGTGCTGCCACCCGCAGCCGTGGTGGCCGGGCGCCTGGTGGTGAAGCCGCCGTGGGGACAGTGCGGTTTGGTGGGGTCGTTCACCACCCACTGGTCGGCGGCGACCTCGCAGTTGGAGATGACCTCCCCGCTGGGCAGCACGCAGTCGTCCTGCGTGTTGTTGTTGCAGGTGCCTGTGTCGGCGAGAGAGCCTGCGTGAGCCCCGAGCCAGGCCGGGGCGGGCGGGGAGGCCGCGGCGGCCAGCGGGGCAAGGCTCACCGCACTGGCCCTTGGTGTTGTTGCCGAACCGCTGGTAGGGCAGCCGGATGGAGAAGGAGAGGCCGTTGTAGGAGATGACCGCGCCCAACTCAGGGATGTCCACCACGAAGTTGATGCCGGACTCGTACACGTGCAGCCCGAACTTCTTGTAGGGCAGGGCCACGGCCTGCTTGTTGACCTGCACCTGCGGCCGACGGACCCGGGCTCAGGGGCGGCCAGCGGGCGGGGGACGGGGCAGCGCGGGGCCGGGCGGGCGGCGCCCCCTCCCGCCTCTCCTCACACTGGGCGCCTCTCTGCCCGCCACCGCCCCCGGCCCGTTCCCCGGCCCTCTTCTTTGTCCTGCTGGTCCCTGGGTGAGGCGGCGGTGGCAAGGGGCTGCCCCTCGAGCCCACCAGAGGCGGGGCCCCCAGAAGGGGCAGGGCGCCCCGCCGACTCCACCCGGGCTGTGCCGCTCCCTGCCCGCCGGCCCCTGTCCCTGGGGAGGGGCTCCAGCCGGGAAGACCCGTGCCCCGGGTGGTGGCCAGCGCCTGCGCGGGGCAGGCCGGGGGGTCCCCAAACGCCCCCGGGACCCTGTGGCAGCCACTGGATGCGCCCCCGAGCACGGCGGGCCCGGCATCGGCGCGCCACGGCCAGAGCGTCCTGGCCCCGGCGTACCTGCACCTTCATGGGCGCCATCTGCACCGTCTTCATCAGCACCTCCTGGGTCTCGTGGCGCACGATGAGCGTGCGGGGGCAGGACACCTGGTCGTGGACGTCGCAGTGGTAGTTGTCGATGTAGACCCCGAAGTTGTCCACGTTGGGGGTGACCTCCTCCACCAGCACGTACGTGCAGTTGCCCTGGTAGCTGTAGTACAGCCCGTCGAAGGTGACGTAGTGGGGGTCTCCCCAACCCGTGCAGTAGCCTGTGGGGGGCGGGGGGAGCCAGTGCTGGGCGGGGCCCGTGCGCAGAGCAAGGAGTCCGCTTCCCGGAGTGCGGGCGCCCGGCTGGGAGGGCCCGGCCCCACCCCGGCCCCCCAGAGGGCGTCTCCCACGCGGCCCCAGTGGCCGGCCCGACCCACAGGACGCGGCCTGGCTGGGAGGGCAGAGGTCTGGGTCCCGCCTCCCGCCTGCCCGCAACCCCAGAAGCGGCCTCATCCCACGAAGGCTTCCGGCCGCACCGGGCGAGCCCCGCCCCTGCCCCGCCCCCTGCCCCGCCCCCTGCCCGGAGGCGAAGGCGGCGGGGGGCGGGGGGGCCTCAGGACTTGCGGCTGGCGGTCCAGGCCTTCGCGTCCCACCTGGGCTCTGTGCCCAAGGTCCTGAGGCCCCGCACCCCCACCCCCGACGGGCGGACAGGAGAGGGCCCCGCGGCGCCTGCAGGCTCACAGTCGCACTCCCAGTGCCAGCAGCAGCCGTCGGGGTCCATGACGCGCACGGGCGCCAGGTTGTTGGAGCAGGTGGGCTTGGGCGGGGGCTTGCACTCCACCGGCACCAGCTCCACGGTGTTGTCGTGCTTGCAGACGGCCATGGTGCAGTTACACAGCCACCACGTCTCGTTCTCCTGCGGCCGGTGGGCGGGGGTCAGCCGGGACCAGCCGGCCCCTCTGCCCTCCCAGGGGGCGGGAGGCCAAGGGCACCGCGCAGGAGGCAACCTCCTCAGCCTCCCCGCAGCCGGCCCGCCCCCAGGACGCCAGGGTGGGCGTGGTGAGGAGGCGGGGGAGCGCCGGCAGCCGGCCCCGCTCTGCAGGGGGGGGCTCGGGATGCAGGGGCCTGGGCCGCCTCAGATGACCCGCTGAAAGGGAGGCCCTGGGGCGTGAGACCGGGACAGTGTGTGTGATGCCGTGCGGACAAAAGGCGCCCGCAGCCACTGACCTGTCTGGGAGGATCGAAGTCCGGGCACCCAGGGGGCTTGCTGCTGGGCGGCGGGCTGGGTGTGGCAGAGGGCGTCGGCTTGGGTGGGGTGGGCTTGGGGGGCGGTGTGGACGGACACGGCCAGTCGAAGATCTCGATGGAGCAGTTCAGCGAGCAGTTGGCGTAGTAGCAGGTGTCCCCGTGAGTGCCGTTGTACACCGTCTCACCTGCCGGGGACAGACCCAGGCCCGGCGCCATCCACTCAGCGGCCATGGGGGTGCACGGGGGCCCCCACAGAGGCCACCAGAGCAAAGCCCCCACCCCCTGCAGACCCCCGCCTCGTGGCTGCAGAGAGAGGCTGCTGGCCACAGGGACGCTGCCCACGTTCAGCGGGCCACGGCCCAGCAGCCCCGCACGCAGACCTGAGACCGGAGCCCGGCCACCGGTAAGGCGGACCCACGGCATCCGCCCGGAGGCCTGCGGCAGAGGGAAAAGCGTGCGTACCTGGGGCGTAGTACGTGCCGTTCAAATAGCAGCATTCGGTGGAAGGACGAGTGGGGTGCGGCACAGTGACAGACGTGCTGGTGGTGGTGGGCGTGGGCGCGGGGGTCCCTGTCGGTGTGGGTGTTGGGGTCGCTGTGGGCGTGGGTGTCGGGGTCCCTGTGGGCGTGGGTGTTGGTGTCGTTGTCGTGGAGGTCGTGGTGGGTGTCGGGGTCGCTGTGGGCGTGGGTGTTGGGGTCCCTGTGGGCGTGGGTGTTGGTGTCGTTGTCGTGGAGGTCGTGGTGGGTGTCGGGGTCCCTGTGGGCGTGGGTGTTGGGGTCCCTGTGGGCGTGGGTGTTGGTGTCGTTGTCGTGGAGGTCGTGGTGGGTGTCGGGGTCCCTGTGGGCGTGGGTGTTGGGGTCCCTGTGGGCGTGGGTGTTGGTGTCGTTGTGGTGGAGGTCGTGGTGGGTGTCGGGGTCCCTGTGGGCGTGGGTGTTGGGGTCCCTGTGGGCGTGGGTGTTGGTGTCATTGTCGTGGAGGTCGTGGTGGGTGTTGGGGTCCCTGTGGGCGTGGGTGTTGGGGTCCCTGTGGGCGTGGGTGTTGGTGTCGTTGTGGTGGAGGTCGTGGTGGGTGTCGGGGTCCCTGTGGGTGTGGATGTTGGGGTCCCTGTGGGCGTGGGTGTTGGTGTCGTTGTGGTGGAGGTCGTGGTGGGTGTCGGGGGTCCCTGTGGGTGTGGGTGTTGGGGTCCCTGTGGGCGTGGGTGTTGGTGTCGTTGTGGTGGAGGTCGTGGTGGGTGTCGGGGTCCCTGTGGGTGTGGGTGTTGGGGTCCCTGTGGGCGTGGGTGTTGGTGTCGTTGTGGTGGAGGTCGTGGTGGGTGTCGGGGTCCCTGTGGGCGTGGGTGTTGGTGTCGTTGTGGTGGAGGTCGTGGTGGGTGTCGGGGTCCCTGTGGGTGTGGATGTTGGGGTCCCTGTGGGCGTGGGTGTTGGTGTCGTTGTGGTAGAGGTCGTGGTGGGTGTCGGGGTCCCTGTGGGTGTGGGTGTTGGGGTCCCTGTCGGCGTGGGTGTTGGTGTCATTGTGGTGGAGGTCGTGGTGGGTGTCGGGGTCCCTGTGGGCGTGGGTGTTGGGGTCCCTGTGGGCGTGGGTGTTGGTGTCGTTGTGGTGGAGGTCGTGGTGGGTGTCGGGGTCCCTGTGGGCGTGGGTGTTGGTGTCGTTGTGGTGGAGGTCGTGGTGGGTGTCGGGGTCCCTGTGGGCGTGGGTGTTGGTGTCGTTGTGGTGGAGGTCGTGGTGGGTGTCGGGGTCCCTGTGGGCGTGGGTGTTGGGGTCCCTGTGGGCGTGGGTGTTGGTGTCGTTGTCGTGGAGGTCGTGGTGGGTGTCGGGGTCCCTGTGGGTGTGGATGTTGGGGTCCCTGTGGGCGTGGGTGTTGGTGTCGTTGTGGTAGAGGTCGTGGTGGGTGTCGGGGTCCCTGTGGGTGTGGATGTTGGGGTCCCTGTAGGCGTGGGTGTTGGTTTCATTGTGGTAGATGTCGTGGTGGGTGTCGGGGTCCCTGTGGGTGTGGATGTTGGGGTCCCTGTGGGCGTGGGTGTTGGTGTCGTTGTGGTAGAGGTCGTGGTGGGTGTCGGGGTCCCTGTGGGTGTGGATGTTGGGGTCCCTGTGGGCGTGGGTGTTGGTGTCATTGTCGTGGAGGTCGTGGTGGGTGTCGGGGTCCCTGTGGGTGTGGGTGTTGGGGTCCCTGTCGGTGTGGGTGTTGGTGTCATTGTGGTGGAGGTCGTGGTGGGTGTCGGGGTCCCTGTCGGTGTGGGTGTTGGTGTCGTTGTGGTAGAGGTCGTGGTGGGTGTCGGGGTCCCTGTGGGTGTGGATGTTGGGGTCCCTGTAGGCGTGGGTGTTGGTGTCATTGTGGTAGATGTCGTGGTGGGTGTCGGGGTCCCTGTGGGCGTGGGTGTTGGGGTCCCTGTGGGCGTGGGTGTTGGTGTCGTTGTCGTGGAGGTCGTGGTGGGTGTCGGGGTCCCTGTGGGCGTGGGTGTTGGGGTCCCTGTGGGCGTGGGTGTTGGTGTCATTGTCGTGGAGGTCGTGGTGGGTGTCGGGGTCCCTGTGGGTGTGGATGTTGGGGTCCCTGTGGGCGTGGGTGTTAGTGTCGTTGTGGTAGAGGTCGTGGTGGGTGTCGGGGTCCCTGTGGGTGTGGGTGTTGGGGTCCCTGTCGGCGTGGGTGTTGGTGTCGTTGTGGTGGAGGTCGTGGTGGGTGTCGGGGTCCCTGTGGGTGTGGATGTTGGGGTCCCTGTGGGCGTGGGTGTTGGTGTCGTTGTGGTAGAGGTCGTGGTGGGTGTTGGGGTCCCTGTGGGTGTGGGTGTTGGGGTCCCTGTGGGCGTGGGTGTTGGTGTCGTTGTGGTAGAGGTCGTGGTGGGTGTCGGGGTCCCTGTGGGTGTGGGGTCCCTGTCGGTGTGGGTGTTGGTGTCTTGTGGGGGGGTGGGGGGGTCCCTGTGGGCGTGGGTGTTGGTGTCGTTGTCGTGGAGGTCGTGGTGGGTGTCGGGGTCCCTGTGGGTGTGGATGTTGGGGTCCCTGTGGGCGTGGGTGTTGGTGTCATTGTCGTGGTGGTTGTGGTGGGTGTCGGGGTCCCTGTGGGCGTGGATGTTGGGGTCCCTGTGGGCGTGGGTGTTGGTGTCATTGTCGTGGAGGTCGTGGTGGGTGTTGGGGTCCCTGTGGGCGTGGGTGTTGGTGTGGTTGTCGTGGAGATCGTGGTGGGTGTTGGGGTCCCTGTGGGCGTGGGTGTTGGTGTCGTTGTCGTGGAGGTCGTGGTGGGTGTCGGGGTCCCTGTGGGTGTGGATGTTGGGGTCCCTGTGGGCGTGGGTGTTGGTGTCATTGTCGTGGAGGTCGTGGTGGGGGTTGGGGTCCCTGTGGGCGTGGGTGTTGGTGTCGTTGTCGTGGAGGTCGTGGTGGGTGTCGGGGTCGCTGTGGGTGTGGATGTTGGGGTCCCTGTGGGCGTGGGTGTTGGTGTCATTGTGGTGGAGGTTGTGGTGGGTGTTGGGGTCCCTGTGGGCGTGGGTGTTGGTGTCGTTGTCGTGGAGGTCGTGGTGGGTGTTGGGGTCCCTGTGGGCGTGGGTGTTGGGGTCCCTGTGGGCGTGGGTGTTGGTGTCATTGTGGTGGAGGTTGTGGTGGGTGTCGGGGTCCCTGTGGGTGTGGTTGTTGGTGTGGTTGTCGTGGAGGTCGTGGTGGGTGTTGGGGTCGCTGTGGGTGTGGGTGTTGGTGTCGTTGTGGTGGAGGTCGTGGTGGGTGTCGGGGTCCCTGTGGGCGTGGGTGTTGGGGTCCCTGTGGGCGTGGGTGTTGGTGTCGTTGTGGTGGAGGTCGTGGTGGGTGTTGGGGTCGCTGTGGGTGTGGGTGTTGGTGTGGTTGTCGTGGAGGTCGTGGTGGGTGTCAGGGTCGCTGTGGGTGTGGGTGTAGGGGTCCCTGTGGTCGTGGGCGAGGCCGTGGGCGTGGTGGATCCCGTGGGCGTGGGCGAGGCCGTGGGCGTGGTGGATCCCGTGGGCGTGGGCGAGGCCGTGGGCGTGGTGGTGTGGGTGGGTCCGCACGGCTTGCAGCAGTAGACATTGATCTCGTAGTCGAGGCAGAAGGGCTGTGGGATGACCCCCCCAGCTCCTGGTCCTCGTTCCTGCACACCAGCCCCACGGAGAGGTCGCACTGCACCACTTGCCCCAGCTGCTCGATGGGCGTGTTGGGGAACTGCGTGGCTCTGCAGGAGATGTTGGCTGCGAAGCCCAAATGACAGAAGTGATGAATGTATTCGAAGTCCCCACCGGGCTTGTTGTAGTTCGGTTTCCCCGAGTTGTTCCAGCCTGTCCATTCGCAGCTTGGCACACATGGGGTCGTGGGCGAGGCCGTGGGGGTGGTGGTCACCGTGGTGGTCGATGAGGCGGTGGGGGTGGTGGTTGCCGTGGTCGTGGGTGAGGCCGTGGGGGTGGTGGTTGCCGTGGTCGTGGGCGAGGCGGTGGGGGTGGTGGTCACCGTGGTGGTCGGCGATTTGGTGGGGGTGGTCGGCGAGGCGGTGGGGGTGGTCGTGGGCGAGGCCGTGGGGGTGGTGGTCGCCGTGGTGGTTGGCGAGGTGGTGGGGGTGGTTGGCGAGGCCGTGGGGGTGGTCGACGAGGCTGTGGGGGTGGTCGGCGAGGCGGTGGGGGTGGTGGTCACCGTGGTGGTCGATGAGGCCGTGGGGGTGGTCGTGGGCGAGGCCGTGGGGGTGGTGGTCACCGTGGTGGTCGATGAGGCCGTGGGGGTGGTCGTGGGCGAGGCGGTGGGGGTGGTGGTCAGGCTGTGGGGGTGGTCGGCGAGGCGGTGGGGGTGGTGGTTGCCGTGGGCGGGGAGGCCGTGGGCGTGGTGGTCACCGTGGTGGTCGGCGATTGGGTGGGGGTGGTCGGGGCGAGGCGGTGGGGGTGGTGGCGAGGCCGTGGGGGTGGTCGATGGCGAGGCCGTGGGGGTGGTGGTCACCGTGGTGGTCGGCGATGTGGTGGGGGTGGTCGTGGCGAGGCGGTGGGGGTGGTGACGGCGAGAGGCCGTGGGGGTGGTCGTGGGCGAGGCCGTGGGGGTGGTGGTCACCGTGGTGGTCGGCGATTTGGTGGGGGTGGTCGGCGAGGCGGTGGGGGTGGTCGTGGGCGAGGCCGTGGGGGTGGTGGTCGCCGTGGTGGTTGGCGAGGCCGTGGGGGTGGTCGGGGCGTGGGGTGGTCGGCGAGGCGGTGGGGGTGGTGGTCACCGTGGTGGTCGATGAGGCCGTGGGGGTGGTCGGGCGAGGCGGTGGGGGTGGTGGTCACCGTGGTGGTCGATGAGGCCGTGGGGGTGGTCGGCGAGGCGGTGGGGGTGGTCGACGAGGCTGTGGGGGTGGTCGGCGAGGCGGTGGGGGTGGTGGTTGCCGTGGTCGTGGGTGAGGCCGTGGGGGTGGTGGTCACCGTGGTGGTCGGCGATTTGGTGGGGGTGGTCGGCGAGGCGGTGGGGGTGGTCGGCGAGGCCGTGGGGGTGGTCGTGGGCGAGGCCGTGGGGGTGGTGGTCACCGTGGTGGTCGGCGATTTGGTGGGGGTGGTCGGCGAGGCGGTGGGGGTGGTCGGCGAGGCCGTGGGGGTGGTCGTGGGCGAGGCCGTGGGGGTGGTGGTCACCGTGGTGGTCGGCGATTTGGTGGGGGTGGTCGGCGAGGCGGTGGGGGTGGTCGGCGAGGCCGTGGGGGTGGTCGGCGAGGCCGTGGGGGTGGTCGTGGGCGAGGCCGTGGGGGTGGTGGTTGCCGTGGTCGTGGGCGAGGCCGTGGGGGTGGTGGTCACCGTGGTGGTCGGCGATTTGGTGGGGGTGGTCGGCGAGGTGGTGGGGGTGGTGGATCCCGTGGTCGTGGGCGAGGCCGTGGGCGTGGTGGATCCCGTGGTCGTGGGCGAGGCCGTGGGCGTGGGCGAGGCCGTGGGCGTGGTGGATCCCGTGGGCGTGGGCGAGGCCGTGGGCGTGGTGGTGTGGGTGGGTCCGCACGGCTTGCAGCAGTAGACATTGATCTCGTAGTCGAGGCAGAAGGGCTGTGGGATGACCCCCCCCAGCTCCTGGTCCTCGTTCCTGCACACCAGCCCCACGGAGAGGTCGCACTGCACCACTTGCCCCAGCTGCTCGATGGGCGTGTTGGGGAACTGCGTGGCTCTGCAGGAGATGTTGGCTGCGAAGCCCAAATGACAGAAGTGATGAATGTATTCGAAGTCCCCACCGGGCTTGTTGTAGTTCGGTTTCCCCGAGTTGTTCCAGCCTGTCCATTCGCAGCTTGGCACACATGGGGTCGTGGGCGAGGCCGTGGGGGTGGTGGTCACCGTGGTGGTCGATGAGGCCGTGGGGGTGGTTGGTGAGGCGGTGGGGGTGGTCGGCGAGGCGGTGGGGGTGGTGGTTGCTGTGGTCGTGGGTGAGGCCGTGGGGGTGGTGGTCACCGTGGTGGTGGCAGTGGGCGTGGGCGTTGGGGTCGTGGAGGCCGGGGGTGAGGGTGTGGACCCAGGACACTCGCCCACCGGCAGGCAGCAGTTGACGCGTATCTCATAGTCGTAACAGATGGGAAACGGCCCGTTTCCAAACTGCTCCTCGTTTTTGCAGATGAAGCCAGAGGTGAGGTCGCACTGGACCTTCTGGCCCAGCTCTTCCCAGCTGAGGTGGGGCTTCTCGGCCGCCCGGCACTGGATGTCCTCGGGGGCCAGGCAGACACTGTGGAACGTTTCTTGGTCCCCGCTTTCAGGCCCAGAGGCCGGGTGGTTCTCGTTGATCCAGTCGGACCAGAAGCAGCAGAGCTCTAGGGGAGCAGGACCCAGCGTCGGTCTTGCGCACCCGGGAGCGGACCCCCCAGGAGGGACCCCGGGAGCTCCAAGAGCCCGTGGCTGCCCCGCCACCAAAGGCCCCCAGGGCTGGCTCAGAGCTCTGGGGGCTGGACCCCACGCCACCCTTTCTGCGCTGAGACCGAGGCCCCGTGAGGGGGGGGCAGAGCGCCCCCCCACACACACACACGCCAGGGGCCGGGGCCCCTTCCTCAGCTGCGGTCAAATCCTTATGCCACAAAACTTCCGAACACATGGGTCGCCCCTCGGGGGAGGAAGTGCACTGGGTGGGCCTCGGCCTTGCCCCTTGACCCACAGTGCTGTCACTTGGAGCTGGGCAAGCCCCCCTGCAAGGGTCCCTGGACTCAGCAAATCAGGGAGCTGCCACCAAAGGCGCCCTGTGTGGTCCCTAAGCAGATGGCCAGACAGCCGGCCGCACGCCCGGCATCGGGCAGCTCTGCAGGCGCTCTGGTGGGACTCCTTGCCCACCGGTCACTGAGTGCATCGACTGCACACTCACCCGTCACTGGAGAGGGAGACGAAACGGCAGGGAAACGGGGAGCAGGGCATGGCATTGCCCAGCCTCAGATCCGTGCCCTGTCTCCGCGTTGACAGGCTCCTTCCCTGGGGCCGGCCTACTCGGCGGTGGCGCGATGGCCACCGGAACCATGCAGAGGGACCGAAGGCCACGCCCCTGCTTTCGCTAACCCACGGGGGTGCTTTCTCACGGGTTTGGGAAATGCCCCACACCACCGTCACTGTGGCCTGGGCTGGGGAACGCAGTTGGGGTGCACAAGGCGCCCCATGCGCAAGGCTGGCGCCCAGCGGGCACCCACTGCCTGCGCCGAGAGGCACGTCCGCATCGCCGCCCGCCTGCCGTGCCAGCCTCGTGCCCGCCTCTGGGAGGGCCGCCTCTGCGGGCTTGGGGCGCAGGGGACGGCGGGGCCCCCCCGGGGAAGGGGCGCGAGGCCGGGCCTTACCTCTGCTGGGGGTCGGGGTCGGCGTGGTGGTGGTGCTGGTTGTGGTGGTGGTGCCGGTTGTGGTGGTGGGGGTGGCGGGCACAGGTGTGGTGCTGCCGGGCACAGGTGTGGTGCTGCCGGGCACAGGTGTGGTGCTGGTGGGCACAGGTGTGGTGCTGCCGGGCACAGGTGTGGTGCTGGTGGGCACAGGTGTGGTGCTGGTGGGCACAGGTGTGGTGCTGCCGGGCACAGGTGTGGTGCTGGTGGGCACAGGTGTGGTGCTGGTGGGCGTCGGCGAGGGCGGGCGTGTCGAGGTGGACACGCAGATGTTGAAGTGCTTCTCCGTGCCATTGGGAGTGCAGATCTCCCAGTAGCAGAAGGCGCCGACCTGGGTGAAGTTGAGAACCTTCCCTGGTGGGTAGGAGAGGGGCTGACATCAACACATCGGGACCGAGAGCCCTCGCCTGTCCCCCAAGGGAAAAGCAGGACGCCTCCTAGCTCCTCTCAGGGACAAACCAAGGCTCCCTTGGAACCCCACCCCCTTACGTGGCCCCATCCACACTCAGATGCTGCGCCACCGGAGGGTCCCCGGGCCCCCCGGCCGGGGAAAGGCGGTGTGCGGCGGGAGCCACTGGGCATGCTGTAGACCAGAGGGGCTCTGCGCAGGAAGGGCCCCCAGGAGGGGACCGACGGCCCACCCGGGGCCCATCCCCAGGCTCCCGCGGCGGCCGCACAGGGCAGCGGCTCACCTTCCTCGAACTGGCAGAAGACGTCCGAGGAGTTGGTGCACACGCTGCAAAGCAAACGCAAGAGCTGCCGGTCCGGGGACGCCGGCCCGTCCCGCGTCCCGGAGGCCCAGAGTCCCAGGGTGCGGCCTGAAAGGAACCCGCGCCAAGGCGGTACCAGGGGGCGGGGCGGGGGCGGGGCGGGGCGGGGCGGGGGCAGCACACGCCAGGGAGAGGCCTGCGCCCTGGCTGCCGCGCGCGGGCGTGAGCACGCGTGGGTGTGCGGGGCGCCCATGTGTGTGTGGCCCCCCGGTCCCCGGGACGGGAGTCCAGGTACCAAGAGTGGCAGTCCTTCTCGGGGGGGACGGACGCTCCGGGAGGGTAGTGGGTGCCGTTCACGTAGCAGCCGCACTCGTCTCTCCCGACACACTTTTTCAGGTCCTCGTCGTAGATGGGTCTGTCCGCAGGGCACCGGGGGTAGCAGCCTACGGGACGAGGGCCCCGGGCTCGAACTCTGTCGGTCGGACCCCACCCGCTCTCCCTGCCGTGGCAGGCCCTTCTCCCCGCGACCTTCCTCTGGAAGGCCAGGGCTGGAGAGGCCAGCGCCTAGGTCCAACCCCTGCCGAGCCCGGCATACTTACCGCCAGGGGACCCACGGGACGGCCGGGCCGCGCCCACCTGTGATGGACAGCCAGGCCCCGCCCACCGGCCACACCCCCGGCCCCGGCCCCGGCTCCGCCCCACGCCTTGAGCGGGGCGCCTGCCGGCCTGCCCTCCGACAGGTCTCAGCTCGGAGGCCGCCCTCCCCTGCGCGGCCCTGCTCTGCGGCGTCCTCGCTCCCGACCTCGCGGGCTGGGCACCCCCGACTCTATCCTGCCTCGTCCCCCCTCACTCCGCCGCCCCCGCCCCCGCGCCCCACGGAGCCTGGGGCCCCGGCCCCGCCCCCGGCCTCTGTGGGGCGACCGAGGCAGCTGGGCTCACCCTCCAGGTAGGACACGGAGATGTTGGAGTGGATGCCGTGGACGGTCCTGCAGGTCTCGAAGCTGCGGTTCCCGCAGGGCTCGTAGTGCCACTCGCACTCGTCCGGAGGGTTGTAGTAGTCGCAGAACACGGCTGCGGGGGCAGGCGGGTCAGCCGCGGGCCAAGGGGCGCCGCCCTCCCTCGGGGGCCGGGGGGCACTCACGGCACAGGTCCGGCGTCCTCCAGAACACGCAGGCGCCCGCCTTGGTGCACTCCTGGGCGTAGGAGGCCACCGCCGAGCAGAAGCACTCGCAGTCCCCGCCGGTGTCGCAAGAGCAGGAGTCGTGCACGCAGGCCTCGTAGAAGGGCATGGGGTCCACCTGCGGGGAGCCACCGTGTGCTGGGCCCGCGCTGGCCTCCTGGGGCGGCCCCCCGCGGGTCCCGGGGACTCGGGGCCCCTCGGCCACGCGGCTCCTGGGACGCGGACCGCCCCGGCTCGGCCTCCGGGGGCGCTGGCGGGGGGGCCCAGAGACGGCGGGCGTCCCCCCCCCCCGCGGAGCAGACCGGGGCTCAGCCCCTGCCTCCTCCCGCCCTGCAGGGCACGGGAGGCTGGGGGCACAGCCAGAGGGCTCAGAAGGAAGGTTGAACATATGGCCACTTGTCCGAAGGACACAGAGGATGGAGGCGAAGCTGGAGGACAGGTGCCTCAAGGGGCGATCCCAGGATGGCTCGCCAGGGTCTCGGACGGCGCCCTCGGAGAGGCTGCCCGGCCCCGCCCACGGCCGCGCCCTCCCCCCCCACGCCCGCCCCGGCTCGTGGCCCCGCCCACCTTGCTGTGGCAGACGCGGAAGACCGGGCCCTTGATGATGCTGCACTGCTTCTGGGCCCAGGCCAGGCGGTGCGGGTTCCTGAGGCAGGGGTCGGGGGTGGCGGTCACGTCCGGGCAGGTGGAGGTCTCCTTCCAGCTGTTCCCAAAGTCCAGCTCACTCTCCACCACCATGTGGTCCCGCGTGGTGAGGTCGTTGCTGGAGCGCTGGTCGAAGTTCCCGCACAGGCCGCACACGGCGCCCTGCGGAGAGAGGCAAGCGCAGGCTTCGGGAGCTGCTCGCCGAGGGGCCCGCGAGGCCGGCCGGGCGGGGGCGGCCGCGCACCTTGTAGGAGGGCGCCAGTTTGATGAAGACGGTGGTCCTCTTGTCCCAGATGACGATGACGCCGGAGCTGGCCTCCACCACCAGGTACTGGCCCACCTCCCGCGTAGTGTAGGCCACGGGGTGGCCCTCGTCGCGGTGGATCACCGTGAGCTGCTTGTCCTCCAGCTTCAGCTCCGTCCTCTGTGCCCAGGGAGACGCTGGTCACGGGCCGCGCCCGTGGTCCCCAGCTCCCGCACGTCCCCGGCGTGGGCAGCACTCACCCCCAGGAAGATCTTGATGGCCTTGGAGCAGGTGACGCCCGTGGTGCCGCAGGGGACGTTCTCGGTGATGATGCTGAAGGAGCCCCGTGAGGAATTCTGGCCACAGTAGTCCTGCGGGCCCGCGGGGGGTCAGCCAGGCCCGCCGGGCACGGGGGCCCTGGGCACCCGCCCCCGCCGCGCCCCAGCCCCTCCTCTGCGGAGCGGGGTCCCCATGCTGCACGGGGTCCCTGGGCGCCCGCCACACGCCGCGGAGGGTCCCAGAATGGGGGAGAGAGGAAGGGCCGGCCACCCCGCCCCAGGCCCTTCACGGGCCCGGCGCAGCCCTCGCGGCCGCCCTGGAGCCGGCAGAGCGGGGCCGGGGCCGGGCCTCACCTGAGCGGCCACGTAGGAGCAGTGCCCGTCGAAGTCGTAGAGCTTCCCGTCGAAGGTGACATAGTGGCCGCTCCCGTAGATGGTGCAGCTGCCGTGGCAGCTGGCCTGGGTGCAGGCCCAGCGCCCCCTCTGGCAGGTGCTGGGGAGAGCGGGAGAGGGCCCTGAGGTGCCGCCGGAGCCACCCCGCCCCCCCCCGTGCGCCGAGGGCGGCCTGACCGGGCCCGCGCCCCCCCCCCCCGGGGCCGGCCCCCCGCCGCCGGGCCGTGCCCCCCACCAGGTGTTGCAGTCCACTTGGATCTTGCTCCCGGGGGCGTGCAGGTCCTGGTTGTGCACACACGGGCACTGCTCCTCCCTGACGCAGCCCCCGCGGCCGTCGTCCAGCAGCCCCTCGGGGCACACGCAGCCGCTGACGCACTCCGTCTGGTACTGGGGGCAGCCGGGCAGCGGGAGACAGGGTTCAGTGCCAGGCCAGCCCGGCTCCCGGCGGCCCGGCGGACGCCGCGGACGCCCCTCGGGTCCCCGCCCCGCGCTGGCCTGTCTCCCTGGGCCCACCCCGTGCCGGGCGGCGGGCGAGAGCTGCCTGCCGGGGCCCCCACGCGGGCCCTGCTCCCTGTGGAGGGCAGGGCGGCACCCACCGAGCACCCCCTCCCCCCCGGGACGGGCCAGCCAACGAGGCCCCCGACTCGGCAGGGCCGGCCAGGCACTCACAGAGCCGGCAGCCAGGGTCTGGCAGCTGGTGGGGCGGGGGCTCCGGATGGCCGGCGTGGTCAGGTTGTTACAGTCGATGTGAATCTTGGGGGCTGCACAGCCTGTGGGGCGGAGGGGCCACCTTAGCTCCGCTGAAGCAGAGGTGGGGGGAGCAGGCCGAGGGGCGGGGCCGCACGCAGGGCAGCGTCCACTTACGCTGGCCGATCAGCCTGACCCGCGTGCAGTGCAGTCTCGCGTTGCGGCACACGCTGCGAGGGAGGGGGAGGGGGAGAAGGAGAGGCGGGGCTGAGCGGGCCCACAGCTGGGGACGGCGGGCCAGGGGCTCCCCGGGCCGGCGCCCCCACCCTCCCCGGCCGGGGCACCCACCATTGCTCCTCCTGCCTCATGACCACTTTGCCCGCCTGCAGGTAGAGGCCGTGGTGGTAGCAGGAGCACTTGGCCAGGGGCACACAGTGGCCCTTCTCGTCCAGGAAGGTGTGGTCGGGGCAGCCGCAGCCGTCCACGGGGGCGAAGCCCTGCTGGCAGTGGGTGTCGGCCTCGGAGAACGAGCGGCAGGTCTGCTGGCAGGCGGTCAGGTTGTACAGGAAGACCTGCGACTTGGGGCAGGAGCCCACGTCCTTGTCTGCAGAGCGAGGGGCCTCGTGAGGGGCGGGGAGGGCCCGGCTCCCAGCTCCTACCCGCTACCTGTCCCTCAGCCCCACCCCTGCCAGCACCAGGACACCTGCCCAGCCAAGTGGCCGACGAGGGCCGCCCCTGGACCCGACGGGGCCACGTGCGCACGTGCGCCCCAACGCCGCCCCGCTGGGCAAAGACGCTGTGGCCTCAGCTCCGGGACCCCGCGGGCTGACCTTCCCCTGCGCCCCAACACTTAGCAGGAGCTACCACGGGGCACAGTGGGCGAGCCGAGGCCCAGCTCCCATGGGACACCAGACCCCAAGCCCCTCAGCGCCAGCAGGGGGCGGCACTCACTGCAGACGCGCTCCCGCCAGCCCCAGAGCAGGACGCCCTTGGAGGCGCAGGCGCGGGCGTAGGAGGACAGGGCGGCGCACATGCAGTCCTCGTTGTCCTGGCAGTTGCACGTGTCGTACTTGCACCTCTGGGTGGCGAGAGGGAAGGGGCTGGGAGCTGGCACGCCTGCGCGGCACGCCGGACACACACAAGCACTCACGCGCGCTCACACATGTACACACTCCCGCTGAGCAGCTCCCAGCAGGGGGCCCAGGCTCAGCCGGGCGCAGGAGCAGCCTGCCGGGGCCGGGCGGGGGGCGGGGGGTGTGCGTGAGGGCCCCACCGACCTTGTAGTACTCGGCGGGGTCCACGACAGAGTGGCACCGGGCGAAGGGGGTCTCCTTCTTCTTCAGCAGGGAGCACCAGTGCTCGGCGTAGTTGGCTAGAAAGGGGCCGGCGCCTCAGTGGGGAGGCCCCTCCAGCAGGTCCCCTGAGTCTGGCGGGTCACCCAAGCTGGACTAAACGCCGCCCCCTCTGTGGACCAAACCCGGTCCCCTCCCTCTGGGTCAGGCCGGCCCAGGACAAGCCAGAGGAGCCTAGCCCCCGAGCCTCCCAAGCGCGGTGGGGCGTATGGGAGGGAAGAGGCTGCGCTGCCCCGGCGCCAGGCCTGCGCCTGGACGAAGGCCACATTCAGCAGTTGGCGGCCCAGCCCCAGGCCCCTCATGCAGTGGGCAGCCCCCGGGGCCGCGGGGCCGCCGGCAGCAGGCGGAGGGCTGGCCCGGAGCAGGGCGGGCCGCTCCTCCGCCCGCGCCCGCGCCCGCCCCACGGGCCCCCACCCCAGGCAGGGCCGAGCCTCACCGCTCTCGATGTTGAGGGAGCAAGGGTCGTCCAGCCAGTCCAGCTTGTCCGGGCAGCCGGGCTGGGCCTTCCAGGTGTTGGCGAAGCCGGCTCCCGTGGCCTCCACCAGCCCGCCCGCCGTCTGGAAGTCATCGTTCTCCTGGCCGTTGAAGTTCCCGCAGAGGCCTGAGGGGCCAGGACAGGGTTGGAGCAAGCGGGACACAGGCGGGCAGGCCTGCGAGCAGCCTCAGCGAGGGGACCCAGCGGGACCGCGTACCGTGCACACGGCCCTGGGCGGCCTGGTCCAGCGTCAGGAACAGCTGCATCACCGGCTCCAGCTGCACCTGCAGCCTGAGGCCGAAGGCCGTGCTCACCACCAGGTGGTAGGAGGATGGTTGAAAGATGGAGAAGCTCGCTGCGGGGCAGGGGTACAGGGCGTGAGGGGCGCCTGGCCGGCTGGCCCGCCCCCCCCGGGGCCCCCCAGGGCTCCCAGACGGGGGCTCACCTGTCACGTGGGGCAGGTTCACCTGCAGCTCGTTCAGCAGGACGCTGCCGTCCGACTTGAAGGCCACCACCTGTGGGAACGGCCGAGGGGACCCCGGGGATGAGGAGGGCCTCTGGGGTCCGGGGCAGAGGGGTGTCCGGGGGAGCCAGGGGGAAGGGGGCACCCACGTTCTTCTTCTTGTCGACCAGCAGCACCACCGTCTTCAGGCAGGTCTGCTTGTCCGTGGAGCCGCAGGGGGCCAGCTCGCCCAGGAGGGCAAAGGAGTCTCCCTGGTCGTCCTGCGGGAGGCCGGACCGCAGTGAGGACGCGGCCGGACCCCAGCTCCGTCCCCGCGCCTCCCCGGGCGACGGCCCACCTTGGTCAGCACGTAGTAGCAAGCCCCGTGGAAGGTGTACTTTTTCCCGTCGAAGGTGGTGATGTGGGAGCCGCCCTCCAGCGCACAGGTCCCGGGGCACGGCAGGTCTCTGCACTCCCAGCGGCCGGCCTTGCAGACACTGCCGGGCAGCGGGCACAGGCTCGGGCTCGGCGCCGGCCCCGGCCTGCCCGGCCCCAGCCCGCCCGCCCGCCCGGCCCCGGCCCCGGACTCACCATCGCTCGCAGCTGCTGCTGACCTGCTGGCCAGGCGTGTACGTGTCCCCGTGCAGCCTGCAGGGACACTGGCTCACGGGGACACAGCCACGGCCCCCGATGTCATCGTACACAGTGCCTGGGACAGCGCGGGGTGGCGTCACACTCGGCCGGGGCCCCGAGGCAGGGCCACCAGCCAGGCCTCCCACCCGCAGGCCTCTCTGGTCTATCGAGCGACACTGTGGTCCCCCACCGTGTCTGGTCAGGGACCTTCCTGCACCTGAGAGCCCGGCCCCTTCCCGGACACTTCCAGGTTCCCTGCGTTAGGCAGGGGGAGGTGTGTCCGCAGGGCGATGACCAGGAAGGGGTCCCCCCACCCGAGACTCCTAGAAGCCACCTCTGTGTGAGTCCGGGGGGGCCTTCGGCATTGCCGTCCCCTCTACCTGGACCCTGTTCCCTGACTTCAGGGCCCCCTGCCCCGCGGCCGCAGCACCCACCTTCGGGGCAGAAGCAGCCGTCCATGTGGTGCTCCTCGCACAGGCTGCTGACCTCCAGGTGGGAGCAGGTATCCATGCAGGGCGAGCCGCTCTCCAGGTACACCATGTTCCCGGGGCAGGTCCGGGCTGCGACGGCAAAGGTGGGCCCCTGAGCCGGGCGTGGCCGGGCGGCCGAGCGTGGCGGGCTGGGCCCCCAACCAGGGCACCAGGCCGCCCTCCCCGTGGGCCCCACTCCCCCGCCCCCCGGCCCCCGCGGCGCTTACGGCAGAACGAGGCCGTCCGCCAGTTCCCCGGGCGCCCGCCGGCGTGGGAGCACTGGCGGGAGAACTCGGCGACGGTGCTGCACACGCAGGAGGCTCCGGGCGGGCACTGGCAGCGGTCCAGGACACAGGCCTGCACGTAGGGCTCCAGCGGCACCAGGCCCAGGCAGTCCTCGAAGGCCGCGGCCCTCAGCAGCTGCTCGCACTCGGCGCGCTGGGGGCAGACGTGGCGGGTGGGCGGTGGGGGGCTGCTCGCGTCCTCCTCCCTCCACGCTGCCCCGGGCCTCCGGGATGGGGGGGGTCACGCCACGCCCACGCCCCGGGACCCCCACCCTGGGAATGAATACCCCCTGCCCCGGGCGGGAGTCCCGGGCAACTCACGTGCTGGGAGCAGGACTTGGGGACCGGCGTCTCCTCAGGGAAGGGGTCGTCGCACGTGACCTCAGGTTTGTTGATCTTCTGCATGTTCCCAAACTCGATGGCACTGAAGAACACGCCTAGGGGAGGGCAGAGCCCGTCAAGGGGGCGCCGGGGGCCCGCACGCGCCCCGCCCCCGCCCGCCAGCCGGCCGCCGCGGCCCCCACCGTTGGACAAGAACTCCGAGTAGGTCGGCAGGCCGTTGTAGTCGCCACAGAGGCCGCAGGTGTGGTTCCGGAACTTGCCGTCCAGCTCCAGCTGCCGGGGGAGGAAGCCGGTGGGCGGGGGTGAGCGGCCACAGGCGGCCGGGCGGGCCCCCGCAGCCAGGCCTCCTGGCAGCCTCGTCGGACCGGGCGTCAGGTCCAGCAGGAGGGCCGGGGTCGGCCGGGGCCCCTCCCTGAGGGCCTCGCCGCTGCCTGTCGCCGACCGCCAGCCTCCCCCGCGCCCCAGCACCCACCATGAGCGCGTCCTCCCGGTTCCACATGAGGGCCAGGCCGGCGCGGGAGAAGACCTTCGTGTAAGCGTCGTTCTTCTCGATGAGCAGCCCGGAGGCGTAGTGTGGGGTGCTGACCCTGGGGGCGCCGCGGGGGTCAGGGCCGGCCCACGCAGCCCCTCGTCGCCCCCCCAGCCCGCTCCCGGCGGGGCCTGCGGCTGCACGGCCAGCTCTCACCCTGGGGCCGCGTCTGTGGGAGGCCCTAGTGGCCCAAGGGCCCCTGTCCGCCTGGGCTGCTTGGCGCCTTCGGGGGGCCAAGCCCCGCCCACATCCCCCCACCCCCGCCAACATGGCCCTGTCTGGGCAGGCAACGCAGGAGGGAGGAGGGCGGGCTCCACCCGGTGGGGGTCTCCGTGGCCCCTGCCCTGCCCACGCAGGACTGTGCTCCCCCAAACTCTGTGCCCCCAGGGGGCCCGAGCCCGCCTGAGGCGGGGCCCGCTGGGCAGGAGCACACCCAGGACTCTCGGCTCCCAGCGGCAGGGCCCCCCTCAGGCCTTTCCTGCTTGTGCTGCTCTAACCTGGGATCACAGGGCACAGGGTCTCCCTCCCGGGCCCTCCGGGGCCAGGTGCCTGCACTGTCCCACCGCCACGCAGAGCCCAGTGGGCCCCGGGCAGGGGTCACAGGACAAACACGGGCCTGAGCCCCGCCCCCGGCCCCCGGGGCTCCTGGTGGGGACTCATCCGTGTTTGCCAAGCGAATCGGCAGCCTGACCTCACACCAACAGTCTCCTTCTGAGGACGGGAGCCCCGCAGGAGGGGACACTGCTGACCCCACTCACATGGCGCCGTTCACCACGACCAGCTGGCGGGTGAGGTAGATGACGTCATCCTTGATGGTCAGCAGGATGTGCTCGACCTGGGGGTGCGCCCCGCCGCCGCCGGGGCTCCGCTTCAGGTGCACGGCGAACTCCTTGTAGGAGTCGCGGCAGTCGGAGGCCAGGTTGTAGTCACAGAGGCCGGGGAAGCGGAAGACGTCGCCGTCGAAGGTCTTGTAGTGGAAGTTGCCCCAGGTGCTGCAGACGTTGTGGCCATGGTTTCGGGCTCTGCCCTCTGGGGAGCCGCGGGGACGGAGGGTGAGCGGCCCGGCTGGACACCCGGCCCGGCCGGCAGCCGCCCTCCCAGAGGTCACAGCGCGGGGTCCAGGGCGGGGCGTCCTGCGGGAGCACACAGGTGCCCCCGCCCCCCCCAACTGAAGTGACCCCCTTCTGCAGGTGGCCCGACACCTGGCCGTGCCCCTCTGAGGGTCCCCGACACCCGGGACCGAGGCCCCCGGCCGGCCCCTCCTAACCCCCCTGCCTCCGCCGCGCCCCCCAGCGTCGGCCCCGCTCGGGTGTTCCCACCCGGCGTGACCCCCGACGGCACACTCTGGCCGGGCAATCGCCTTCGAAGGGACGGCGGGAACCCAAGACCACCCGTCCGTCCGCCCGTCCGTCCACCCCAAGTCACAGGACTGGGGACTGCCAGACACTCCCCACACCGGCCGCCCCAGGGTCTGGGCAGAAGAGGGCCCCCCCCACTCCCGGGCAGGACGTCTGCCCGTGCCGCCTGGCCCTCCCGCCGTCCCAGGGGGCGGCCCCCACACCTTTCCGCAGCTCCGCGCCCGTGGCCGCGGTCAGGGCCAGGCTCAGGGCCACCAGGCAGCCCAGTGGCAGCCCCATGATGGCCGGGCAGGTCAGCGTGGAGAGCGACCAGGACAGGGGTCCGGGCCTTATATGGCCAAGCAGGGCTGCCCGGGGGTGGGGCGGGTGGGGGAGGGGCCAGGCAGGGGTGGGGGAGCGTTAGGCAAATTGCCGAGGAGACAGCTGCGGGGGCCCCTGGGAGCCACTGTTGGGAAATATTGATTCAGGTTATCTGAGGGCTATCTTTTTATTTACTTATCTTCCTAGGTAAAGCTCCCCTCCTCCCCAATTACCCCGTCCCAACACACGCCCAGCGGACCTCCGTCCCTCCCAGCCACACAGGGGCCCGCGGGCCTGAGGTCCAGCAGGAAGCATGTCCTGCCGGCCCCCCGCCGCCCCACCTGCCCGGCGCCCGGGGCAGAGCCCAAGGGCCCCTGGAGGACGCTGCCCCAGTCGTGCCAGTCGGGGGGCCTGTCCCCAGCCCCTCCAGGCAGCGGGCGTGTGGGCTCGATGGGGGTGGGGGCTGCTCCGGCCCGGCCCCGCGCCCGCCCACCCTCCAATCCCCTCCTCACCCCAGGCTGGTCCCACCTCTGCAGTCACATGTCCCTGGAACTTGGGGAGCCCCAGCAGGGGACTGGGCAAGGGGCACATTCTCTGGGGCCCAGGGGGCACGGCCGGAAGCAGTCGTCCCCCAGGGGAATGGGGCTGGGGCCCCAGAAACGGCCTCAGGCAGGTGTCGGAGCTGCCGCCGCGGGGGCGGGGAGAGCTGCCCTGCCCCCAGGACAGGCCCTGCCCCACCGCCCCCATGGCCTGGGACACAGAGGCCAGGCTGGGGCCCCGGGCCGTGCCCCTCGCCCCACAGAGAGGCACCGTGGCCCCTGATGAGCCTCAGGCCCCCCGCACCTGCCCGGAGCACCTGCCCTGGGGCTGCACGAGGGCCACGTGCGGCTGCCTCGCTCAGCCCCAAACCTCACCCGGGGGGCGCGGGGGGCCCCGCTTCCTCCTCCTGGAACAGATGGGGACCCCGAGGTGGGCTTTGGCCAGGCCAGGGAGAGTGCAGATGGCCTGCCCAGACCGGGGCCGGAGCGGGGGGGCGCCAGCAGCTCCCGCGGTCAGGGGCACAGGGCTCACCCCAGCAGCTATTGAGATGGTGGGGGTGCCGCCCAGGGGAAGGGGACACGGGGCGCGAGCTGCCGGACCCGGGCTCCCCTCAGAGGCGGCGACCTGGAGCTGGAGCCTCGGGCCGGCTCCTCCCTGCACAGGACCAGGACCCGGGGCCTGGGCACGCGGGGGACTCAGCGCAGCCGCGGCCAGGAGGAGCCGGGGCCGGGCACCCAGCGGGCCACTGTGCCGCGCGCCCGTGGGGCCTGCCAGGCTGGCCCGGGACACCGATTTTCCAGGCCAGGCTCCTCTGGCGACACAGGACACACAGCACGGCCCCCCTTCCCTGAATCAAGCGGGGACCCCGGAACAGAGGAGGCGGGGGTCTCCAGGCTCTGAGGTCGGCCCAATGGTCCCCCCAGGGCGGGGGTGCCGCGGTGGCAACCTGAGGCTCAGGGGTCTGGCCCTGACAGCCGCCCGGCCCAGGCGCAGGGTCTCAGGTGGGGCCCCAGGGCAGAGGGACGGCCCAGCCAGGGGCGGGCGCGCCGGGGGGCGGGGGGCAGAGCTGGCGGGGATGGAGGCGGCGGGGCAGGCGCTGCCAGGCCGGGCACCAGGGCCCCCGCCCCCGCAGGGTCAGGCCCCACTCGCAGAGCCGGGCGCCTCCAGGGCCTCGGGGCCTGGGCCTTCCGAAGTGGCCGCCACAGCGCCCCTCACAGGCAGGCCCTGGGGCCCGGGCTCCGCAACATCCGGGACAGAACTAAACGAGGACGTGTCCGAAGAAGGCGCCGGGCCCCCGGGGCCCTCGGACTTGGACACCCGTCCTGCGGCCACGGGGACAGGGCGGACTGTGCACACCGCCCCTCCTTTCAGCTGAGGCCTCCCTCTCCCTGAGCCCCCACGGCCACCACCCGGGGACTGGCCGGTCCTCCGGGCGGGGAGATGGTCGAGGACACTGCTGGTGTGGACAAGGAGCCTCTCTCTGGACGAGGTGCGATGTCCGAGGGCCCCGGGACCAGCCCAGCCCGAGCCGGACCTGCAGGGGGACCCCGGCCCAGGGCCCGCGCACACCCGCCCCCCTGCCGGCCCCACGCCCAACGGTGTTTGCTCAGACAAGACACCCTCCCAAGGGCGGTGGGACTTTACGGCCTGGCCCACAGGGAGGGGGCCAGAGAGATGTCATGAAACGCGGCCTGACGTGACAGTTCTGCTGCTCTCTGTCCACAAACCCTGAGTCACCAGGAAGTGGGCGCGGGGCGAGCCACAGCGGGCAGGGAGGGGACTGCGAGCAGGAGGGGGAGGGGAGGGAGACAGGACGGCTGGGGAGGGGGAACAGGCCCCTCCCGCTCTGCCTCCTCGCGCAACGCTTCACGGCACCTGCCACCTCGGCCAGGCCTTGGGGCCCAGTTCTGGGTCGAACACCAGCCCAGGTATTGCTCTGAAGGTGCTTTTCAGGGGTGAGCCCATGACCCCCCCGTAACGTGGGTGGGCCTCAGCCACCCCGCAGGCGGCCTTCGAAAGGGGGGCCCCAAGGCAGGGGAAATTCAAGGATCCCACCTCCAGGCGGCCTTCAGGCTCCCGCTGCCACGTTGACGCTTCCCTGAAACCCCCCTTAAAATTGCGGCCCCTGCTGGCCTTCCTGCTGTGAGTGCCGCCAGGGCAGCGCCGGGGTGGCTTCTCCGTGAGTGTGAGCCCGCGCCACAGCAGATGCCCTCAGAGACTCTGCCCCCGGGCGCGTGGGGGCGAGCGGGCGGGGGGGCGCACACGCAGGCGAGGTCCCAGGCGGTGGGTGCGCCTCCGCGGCCGCCCGGGGAGCTCGCACGTCACAGGAGCCCCTGGGGACAGTGCCTGCCGACGCGCTCAGCGCCCCCGCATCGCGGTCCCTGGAGGCAGAGGCTGACGGCAGGCGCCCTGGGGGTGGGGAGCCAGCGTCCAGGGGGGGCACGACAGCACGCTGGGCGCACCCCCCCGCCGGGGCGAGGCCGAGCGTCAGCGGGCCCGCGGAGCCCTCCGCGCCCACAGCATGCGCTGCCGCTGCTCGGCAGGGTTGGCTGCCCCTCCTGGGAGAAGCCCAGGTGAGTCACAGGACACCAGAGGCTCCTGGGCCCTCGGAGCCGAGCCTGGCAACCCCCACCGCCCCGCAGCGCGGGCAGCCCCCGGCTTTGGGGTACACTGGGCGATTCTCTCGCATTTCCGCTTCCACCCTGCTCCCCGGCCTCCTGGCTCCCTTTGCTTCACGTACATCAAGGCCCAGGACGCTCTGGGGGCTTTGACGCCCGCCATCGCAGCGTTGCTGGGATCTCGCCGCCCCCAAAGCCCTCCCTCCCCGTGCAGCCCCCTCAAAGCCTTCGCCACTGCCGCCCTCTCCTACCTTCGCTCTAGTTGGGCTTGAATGTGTATTTCTATGGTTAATGTTAAATCTGTAACTGTTAAAATAGTTCATGATACCTCCTGGCTCTGATGTCATGATGTCAACGAGGGAAACACCATTTGCTTGTCTGAGAAGCTCAGGGCAAAGTTTTGTCTCAAAGCATCACTTCTAAATCATTTAAAACCTTTTACTGAGGTGTAATTAACGCAGCACCCATGGCGCTGACCCGCGGACTTCCCGGTTCTGACGCGCACACGCCGGCCACTCGGCCACTCTCGGGCCTGCGGGCCTGCGCGGCCTCCTCTTGCCGCCTCCCTCCCAGGAGGCCCCAGCGACCGACCTTCCGGCCGAGGCAGAAGGGGCCCCACCCACCGTGGGCTCTTTTCCGTGTGGCATTTCTTACTCAGCACAATTTTTGGAGATTCATCCACATTGTTGTTGTATCCATTTGTTCTCCACATTGTCACACGTATCGATATTTCAGCTACACTGTTGCACCTACAGCACTTCCTTCCCTTACCGGATGGGTTGTCCCCCCACCCCCGGGAATTGCTGCAATGTGTCCGTTCGCCCGCCCTCCGCCTTGTTACCGGTGGAGGCCCCCACAGGTGGGGCCACGGCGGACAGGGCACGGGCCTGGCGTGGACCGCCTGCCCGGGAGTGCCGTGCCTGGGTCACACGCAGACGCGCATTCAGCTTTTTCAGGAACAGGCGGGTTCCCAGAGCGCGCGCACAGCGCTCCCCGCAGCTGCGGGAGGCTCCCTGCTCCACCGCCTCGCGGGCCCTCCCTACGGGCCGGTCTTCTTCACCTTGACCATCCGACAGGTGCACGGGGTCTCTCGTGATGGCTCGAGCTGATTGTTCCCATTGACTAAAGGCGCCGGCACCTTCGTGTGCTTGTCCGCCACCTACACATCCTCGGCGGTGAAGGGTCCACTCAAGCCTTGTCCTGCTCACAGCGGGCCGTTTGGGCGGGGCTTCCGGACGGAGCCCTGAGTATCCGAACGTTCTAGGTATCGGTCCTTGATCGGAGACATTCTTCGCAAGCACTTTTCTCCTTCTCTGTGCCTTGTCTTTTCACTCTCTCAGTGGTGCCTTGTGAAGAGCTAACGTTTTTCATCTCGATGAAATCCCATTGATCAGGTGACTCATGGATTGCGTCTCAGTGTCAGACACACGTAACAAGCATTTCCTCCCGCGTTTCCCTCTGGAGGTTTTACACATCTGGGCTCTACACGGCCCCCTCGGAGTTCAGTCTGCCACGCGGACAAGGCGTGGCTCCAAGTCCATTGCATCGCCTGTGGGTGGCCTGTGCCCTGGGCCTGGCCCTTCCTCACTCCCTTGCCTTTGCTACTTTGTTTTAAACAAACAAACAAACAAACAAAAGGTCGTTTGTATACGTGTGTGTTTATTTCTGGACTCTATTCTGTTACCGCGATTTACTTCTCTCTTTATGCTAATACCACACTGTTCTGATTTCTGTACCTTCGTAACAGTTCCAATTCCAGCCGATGTCCACTCTCCGGCTTTGTTCTTTTTCAGGGTTGTATCTGGTCCTTTGCGTTCCCGT